ACTACATTCACTAATGTCTGTAACGAGCAGCCGTGTTTGCACGGTGAAACTGAAGGACTGGCTTAAAATATATCATATCATGAAATCATTTTCATCAAACAGCCACCTTCCCTCTCTCTCTCTCTCTCTCTCTGTCTCTCTCTCTCCACTGCACCTCCGTCCCTCTGAGCCGTGACATCCTGACCTTGCTTAGCTGCTCAGTGTAACCCAAACACGAGCTCGGCCGTGTTTCCCAGCATGGCTGAATCTCCATACCGTTCCCCCGTGGTCCCCGTCTGCATTTTTTGGAGAAAGTACGAAGTCCTGCTTCACACAGCACCTTCTTGATGTGTGTAGGTGTGTGTGTGTGTGAGGGGTGGAGGGGACAGGAGGGAGGACGGTGGGTGTCATTAATGTCAGATGACTGTGCCAGTCTTCTGCACCATGCTACATGTTCATTACAGCCGGCGCTCTTAAATGTTTCTCTCCATTTCCTCCTTTTTATGAAAGGCTTACATGAAAGAAGGTGAAAAGGGAGCGAGAGAGGGAGAGGCAGAGCGAGGGAACGAGAGAGAGTCGGGGAAATTGTAAAATTATAAATTAAGCCGCCGCTTCAATTATTTGCTTGGTTTGATAATAACATGTGGTTAATTTTTGAACGAGGTTAATTACAAGAGGGTTAATGATATTCTAATAAAAAAAAAAAAAAAATTAAAAAAAAAAAACCCAGAACTCATCACATTTTCCCGGCCCTAAATTACACTGACATATATGAACCAAATATTTTCCTCAATGAATTGGTAATTGTTAATAAATACCTCACATTTCGGAGGGGCAGGCGGGGGGGGGGGGGCGGCCCGGTGGGATGACATATTTGAACAGATTCTGTAACGGTAATTGCGGTGAGAGACTTCTGGCTGGAGGTAATCTGACTCTGGCTGCCTCTGGTAGGTGGCCAATTTATTTCATGAAGTGGGGGCAGATACTGCTGCACGTGGCGTTATTGAGGCGGTGCGTGGGGGGGGGGGCAGAGGGAGAGAGAGAGACAAAGGGAAGGGAGGGGGTGAGAGAGGGACAAACAGGGGGCAGGTAGGTGTGATCGCTCATTCACACCAGGGCCGCTTGACGTTGAGCCCTACAGGACATGATTACAAGGCCCTGGGTGAGCCTTCAGCTGACACTTGCTGCCTGTCCTCAC